AAGGGGGGGGGGCAGTGAATCTGTGTATGAGTGTGTATGTGTGCATGCAGGACTGTATTTGCGTGTATACGTGTTAGTACCAGTGTGAAAGAGGTGGAGGGGCGGGGGCTATCAAGTGTATTTATCTTCACCTGAGCAATTGTTCCGGAATGCTATTTCACACCTGTTCCTCCTGCCGCATACACATTTATCCCTGCACATGACATGACACTGTGCGGAAGAAAAATCATTCCTTTGGGGGCAGGAGGAGGTCGGTAACTAAAAAAAGAAAGTGTGTTCAGTTGTAGCAAGCAGTCGGGCGGTTTGTTACGAATTCCGCACTTCCGCTGAGGAATGAGACTCCCTGCTCAAGCAAGGGCATGATTTGACTTTTTAATTGTTATTTGTTTGTCCGCTATACAATCCCTCACAAAATAGATCATTTATGAGACAGGCTGTCTCGACCCTGCTTTTCAGGGCCCACTTGGACTGAGAAGAATGCAACGCCCCAACAGGAAAGACCAAGGTACTCGATAAAAGTTCTCCCCTCAGGGGATTGGAACTCATCGGGTCTTCTCCGTACTACTTCGAAGCGCCTAACGGCTACTCCACATACAATACACCGATACAAGCTCTTTTGTACTCGTAAAAACGAAGCACGATATTCAAATTCACAGAAGACGTGGGAAAACATTGATGGATTAATTGGTTGATTGATTGATCAGCTGCGTTTTCGTTTTAGTAGAGGTTTTAGGTGGGAATATAACATTCCCCGGTGTCTGTGGTGTAGCGGTGGAAAGAAAAAAAAGGAGCAAACCACACCAGAGCATCCGCCAACCACCCACCAATATTATATAAATAGTTTCGCTGGGGTCATAAACAATTACGAGTACATACTTTTCCAAAAGGACGTAGACACACGATGAAAATGATATTTTCATCTTGACTCCAGAATCTTACATCTTCTTCTTACAATATATTAATACAGAGGAGCCTAACCATAACTCCATTAACGTTGGTAGTTACCGTGGAATTGCGGGATAACTTTTGTTGTTCGTTTGAGTAAAGAGAAGCACATCAACACATTAACTTTATTATAGCGCTGGGGGGGGGGGGGGGCAAGACGGACAGAAACAACAAGAGGAAAAGAAAAGAAGTGGGACGACTCACCAACCACCCTCTGACTTTGTTGTTGAGTTGTGGTTCATGACAAGGGAAAAAAATAAGGGTAGCATGTCGATGGAGATATAATTATTAACTTACTCGAGACCGGCTTCGTCCGTTCATAAAAATGAAATACAAGACATTCATACTGAAATGCTTTGTGTGTCACCATTTCGTACACTTTAAAAATTCGTTCATGTTTCTTGAAGTACAGTCTTACTTGTTCTAACGGCCACATGTACAAAGCATTCACCCCACCAAACACCGTTTGATATTTTTTAAAGAAATTATAATGAACATGTTCTGGACGTCCACCTGTTTAAGAATAAGCACTTTTCACTTCGACAGTGAGTGGCTATCTTGGACAATTTCGATTGTACTTTTAGCACCAGTCGCACCTCGTTCAACCTAGTAGAGTTGATAGGGGCATTAAACCTATACCATTTCATTTCATTTTACACCCCATTCTGCGACTAAAAGGCCTAAAATCACAGAATAACAAGTACTCAACTGCATTACCTTACATTTCCAAATTTACTGAGACAAATAACATAAAACAACAAGGCTTCTCTGAGGCCTAAAATACTATATACAAAGATAGTACATAATATTACAATACCTTACCCGTGTGCCCTCTGACTATTCTTTCCACAACACTCCCTGTTCCTGTCTGTCCGTCCGTTCGTCCGAAGTCTTTCGGTCTTTCGGTCCGTCTGTCCGTCCACTCATTTATCCTAAGTGTGTCACATTTCCTTTTCGTGTCACTCAGAAACACAGTCGGTCTATCAAACAACGCTTGCGAAACTGAACTACATGTACCTGTTGAGGGGATACTCCATAGAGCCTCTAGCAGTGTCTCCTTCCTCTTTGGCCAGTGTAAGCAGAGAGACACACACCACAAGGCCTAGTGTTGTATACTCAATCACCGTAAGCCCTTGTCAACGACCTTCTCTGTCTCTCCCTCCTTCCCCTATGGCTCTGTTTCTCTCTTCTCTCTCTTTTTGTCTGTCTATCTATTCCTCTTCCTATCCCTTCTCTCACAGTTTCTGTCTCTTTGCCTGTCTGTCTCTCTTTTTTGTCGGTTTGTCTGTCTGTCTATCTGTCTGTCTCCGTGTGTATGTGTTTGTGTGTGTGTGTGTGTGTGTGTGTGTGTGTGTGTGTGTGTGTGTCTCTCTCCCGCCCTCACCTTTTTTCTATTCCCCCA